ATATTATAGGTATTTTTCAAAAATAAATATGTACTAGAATTAGCCGGAATTCGAATGGAAAATTGCAGACCAAAAATAAACTAATTTCCTAAAAAGTCTTTCAATTTCTATTCAATTGGAGCCGGCATATATATGTTTGTACAAGAATTCAAAGGCATCGTTTGCGCTTGAACCAAAAAGGGTGCAGGACATTTGGAATTCACAAAGACTTGCATGTAGACTGTAGAGGTATAAAAGAAAGTAATTTTAAAAGGTTGCTTTGAATGAATCATGTTCCATAGATTCCCATTCATTATCGGTATGTTCAGTGAGCGAAATAAAGTCAGACCATACAAAATATAATAATTTTAAAACTGGGTCGTAAAGTTTATACTCCATAAAACTTTTGTGTAGGTAAGAGCCGTGAAAATCGGATTAGAAAATTGTTCTGTGACGCTGAAAATTATATTTTCTGATGATGAAAATAAACCAACTGAAGTGTACAGAATTTTTGATAAAAGATTGGTTTGTTTCACAGTTAAACTACCCTATTATAACATCTGTCGGGTCAGGGAGTCGTTTTGGATTGACGGGCCCTTGTCCCTGGTTGCACTGATTCAAAGACGATTGAGGTTAATAGTTAATAATAATTTATTTACATATTGCTATGGATAATATTGCAAGAGGTGCAAAAAGGTAAAAGAAAAAATGAAATATAAATAAAAAATGAACGTTATGACCACAGAACATATCCCCTATAGAAAAATATCTCAAATGGGAGAATCGCGACGAAGGTTTTTAGTTAGGTTTTTAGTCAACGATGGCGACACTGTCGGAAGATAAGAGAAATTTGCAGGTATCTGTGGTGTGGACAGTGATTTGTGTTTGTTGGTTTTGTCATTTATTTTCTCATTTTAAAAGTCAAAATTTGAATTTTTAAATTGTGTTGTATTCCACGGTCCCCACGCGCGTTAAAGTGAAAATTCAAAAAGTTTTGGTTGATAAAAAACCCTAATTTTTGTTCGTATTTTTTTGTATTTATTCGTTTGTTTCGTTTCGTTCGTATTTGTATTTATTATTCGTATTTACATTGCGATCTACCTATAGCTGCGTGCTGCGTGTCGCTTGCTAACTCTTTTTGCACTATGTTCGATATTGGAAATTTCCTGCCAGTCATAGTTTTCAAGAAAATGAGGCGAAAAGAGCTGAAAGCAGTCAGCAAGCCAAAAGCAGTTGAACATTAAAAATTATTTAAAAATAATAAAAATATATGAAAAAAATCAATTCGCCTTTTTGTCAAGAATGCTCGATTAGTTGGGTTTCCAGTCAACGATGGCGCTGTAATTCATAACCGGTACGTAGCATTGCAGATACTTTTCTAGAGGTGATATGTTCTGTGGTTATGACAAATATTTTCAACGGCAGCCTAACTTTAAAAAACAACTTGCTCTTCTACTTTTTTTAAGGTTAAGGTGACACTTGACATTTTGAAAACTACATTGTTGTCGGTTAAGGTGACAATTGACACTACACTGTTGTCAGACACCTACACTGTTGTCAGATTCTCTTCGTAAACTAGACATGCCGCCGCCGTTGAAAGGTTCTACCTTCCAAATCAAGTTTCTATGGGTAGGAGAGAGATTTTTGTCACTGATCTCTTATATGTACCCTTTTCTGTCTTGATAGTCACCACTCTGACTAAACCATCATGACCAGAATGAACTTCTTGAATTCTTCCCATTTTCCACCAAACGTCCTACATCAATATTAAATTCGGATTGATGTCTCCATTTCGAACGGGACTGGAGAGAACATAAATATTCTCTAGACCAATGATCCCAGAACTGTTGAAGAATGAACTTCATATGTTTGTAACGCGATACATGAGATATCTTGAAATCCCAGGTAGGAAGCTCAGGGAGCGACTTCAATGCAGAGCCGTTCAAAAAATGACCAGGTGTGAGCACTTGATAGTCTTCAGGCTCATCCGTAAGGGGATATAAAGGACGGGTATTCAGAATTGACTCCACTTGAACGCACAAAGTATAAAAATCCTCATAATTACAAGTTATATTTTTCATTACCAAATGGTATTTTGCAATACGGATCGCAGCCTCCCATAGGCCCCCAAAATGTGGCGAACGTGTAGGTGAAAAATGCCACGTGATTTTATTTTCTAAAAGAAAGTCTTTAAATTTCTCTTCCTTAGGGTCAAATTATGGACTGACTGGTAAACGTCCGGTTGTTACCTAGCAGGTACTTTCTATGCACTAGAGAATAGAAAGTAGCTGCTAGGTTACAACCAGACACTTACCAGTTGGTACATAATTTAGCCATTAGTTTGATTAATGAAACCCGAAATCATTTTATTAGCAGACACAAAGTTAGCACCGCAATCAGAATATACATGAGCGCAGAGACCACGTCTACTAATAAATCTTTTGAATCCATTCAAAAAACCTTCAGTTGACAAGTCTGACACAACTTCAATGTGCACTGCTTTAGTGCTGAAGCACACAAAAAAGCATAAATAGGCTTTAATGAATTTTCTGTTCCTGAATTTGCTGTCCTTTATTTCATATGGTCCAGCAAAATCAACTCCGCATATTACAAATGCTCGAGAACTAGTGGTTACTCTATGTGTAGGCAAATCAGCCATTTTTTGCACTATCTTTGACGGAGAAAATCTAAAACAAGTTACACATTTATTATTTACATTTCGAACTGTTTGTCTACCACGTAAAGGCCAAAAATGTTGTCTGATGTTTGATTTGATTGAGGTCCAGCATGTAGATTTTTTAAATGCTCATGTCTAATTAGTAAATAAGTGAAATGATGCTTGGACGGGAGTATTATAGGGTGTTTAGCAGAAAATGATAACCCCGAATTAGCCAATCTACCACCAACTAATACCATATTATTTTTATCCAAAATCGGATTAAGTGATAAAAGTAAACTTTTGGATGAAATGAACTTAGAATTTTTAAGGCTATGTATTTCATTCGCAAAACATTCAAGCTGTACAAGTTTAACAAGACTAATAAGTGCTTGATCTAATTCTTGGATCGTTAAGTTATTTAAATTTCTGGAATCTTCTAAAGATAGACAATTGTTTTTGAATCGCAAAAGATATGCTGTAACATGGATTAGTGTGCGAGAAGATGAGAACTTCTGAATGTATTCGGATGCAAAATTATTTTTTAGATTAATACAAGACATCACAATATTTTTAACTTCAATCAAATCTGTATTATTTTCAATATTGACTTTGGGCCAGATCTGAAGGATTTTCCTTAGTTGGTACATAAGACCATTGCTCAACTCTAGACATTCTCTGGATTTTTGAAATTCTGTTCGACACAAAAGTTTTTAGTGAAGAAGGCTCACGTGCTAACCAAGCTAAGACAATCTGGGAATCAGTCCAATAATATATGTTATTAACATTTTTAAAGCTAATAAGACTGTGTGACACAGCTGAACAGACAAAACACAGCCACAAAGTTCTAGATGTGGTAACGCTAGAGATTTTAAAGTTGCTACACGCGATTTGGCGCAAGCTAGTCGAAAAGTAATCTCGCCATTCGGATTTTCTGAACGAAAATAAACAGCAGTTCCATAAGCAGTAACAGAAGCATCAGAAAAACAATGGATTTCAAGTTGCCTTGTTTCACGACAAATCAAATGCCTGGGTATTTTTACCTAATTAAGACAAGGCACTTGATTATAAAATCTAAGCCAAACTTCCATAATACTCTCAGGAATACTATCCCAATCAATGTTTTCAAGCCATAATTTTTGAAGAAGTATCTTAGCCGTTATTATAACAGGACCAAGAAGACCTAATATGTCATAAATTTGACTTATAATAGATAAAATTATTCTTTTAATGAAAAAAGTTGCATGGGGTTTTATATTAACTACATATTTAAATTCATCACTTACAAAATTCCAATAAATACCAAGTGTTTTATTTTGTTCATCTTTTACAAAAAAATTGATTATCAATACTACTGGCTAAATTTCCCAAATATTTCAACACTTGATTGTTATTTGAAGACCATTGCCGTAGATTGAAATGAGCACTAGCCAAAATATCATTCGTATGTTTTATAAGTTTTAAAGCGCTATCGATATTTTCAGCACCACTCAACCAATCGTCCATATAAAAATCCCCAGAAATAGATTTACATACTTCAGGATTTCGATCCATATTGTCCAAAGACAACTGTTTGAGACAACGCGTTGCCAGAAAGCTAGCTGGAGCAGTACCGTATGTGATTGTATTTAATTTGTAATGGTTTAGTTCATTAGATGATTTTGAACGCCATAGAATCCTCTGATAATCACGTTGAGATTCATCGACAAAAATGCAACGATACATCTTACAGATATCAGCGGTAAATGCTATATTATGTTTGCGAAACCGAAACATAACCCAAAACAAAGGTTCTTGAATACAAGGACCAACCTTTAACACATCATTCAAGGATAGGTTTGAGTTTGTCTTGGCAGAAGCGTTGAACACGACCCTTAATTTTTGAGAACAAAATCGTATGAACGCGTTCAAATTTCGTCGTCAAAAATGTCGTAAAATTCGCGAAAAACAAACGAAACAAAAGTCAATTTCCTTCGGCTATGGTAAAAAAAAAATATACGGATATAAATCCTAGTGAAAAACGCCACGAATCTCATTATTTCGCAAGAAAATCCAGAAATTCAAAAATTAAAATCGACGACACATAACCGCACTTTTTACACACAAACAAAAGTGAAGTTAGGATTAGGAACTGTCAAATCCAGGTGGCTAATAGCCATCGAAAACATAAACAAAATCAGCTGCTAGGATCGCAATATAAATAAAAATGGCAAATGTTTTCCTCTGTTGTAGAAACAAAACTCAAAATAATTATGTATGCATAGAGTGTCACAACATAATACATAAAAGTTGTGGCGCAAGAAAATCACTAACAATAATTAGACAAAACCATGTATGGTGCTCTCAGGCCTGTGCAGAGCGTGCCATGCAAACTGATCAATCACAGAAAGATCAACTTGTTCTGATACAAAAGCTAGAAAAGGACAATTTAGAAAGGGAATTGCATATTAAGAGACTACGGGAACACAACGAATTTTTGGAAGAGGAAATCATACAATTTGACTCAACCAGTGAGTCAACAATAGGTAACTTAAAAAGCCAAATCCTATTCTTGAAATCGCAAATAGAGGAACTTAAAAGTCATTCAAATAAAAAAACTGTGGATGCACAAACACAAACTCTACCTCAAATGAAACCTGCCAACTATACTGTTGGAATGCAAACGATTAGCAACCCAACCTGTGAACTTGGAATCCAAACAGACACTGAAACGGAAAGCAAAACAACAACAAACATAATAACTTTGGAGGCACATACACAAACCCTAGCTGAAATAAAACTGACTAATAACGCTGCAGGAACACAAACTATCAGCTGTGAACTTGGAACTCAAACAGAACTGACGGAGGAAGCCTTGGAAGAAGTGATGTACTCAAATGCATTAAAAACAATTCACCTAGATAAAGGCACCCAAACTTCCAGTGAAATACAAGCGGAAGACCCAAATAACCAAACACTAGAAAGTGATCAAAAGACGTCACAAAAACCACAGGCGTTTTTGATTACAAATTCTGAAATGAAGGGATTGGTCGGAATATTTAAAGCATGCACCAGGAAAAGCTATGACATAAGCTATCGTTATTTACACAGAGCAACTATAAATGACCTCTTTAGCCATGCTGAATCATATGCGAACAAGATAAGGGTAAATGATTTACTAATAATTTTCACTGGTAATGAGGATGCATGTAGAAATACTTCACTTAACAAGGATTTTAGGAAACTGGCAAGTTCACGAGGAAAAGTTTTTGTAGCTGGGTGTCCCTTTTCCACAAACAGACCTGTTTTGAATAAATTCATACAAAAAACAAACTTCAATCTAGAAGAATCTTTAAGAAACACACCCATAACATATATCAGCACAAGCTTGATGCAACAACAAAAAATGACCACAAAAATCTGCTGGGAGTACCAGGGTTTAGTAAAATTGATTAATTACCTCTTGGTCAAAATAAACAAAGTGCCAGGAAACACCGGCATTAGAAAAAAAACTACCCAACTTATTCAGCGTCAACAAAACCCGCATTTGCACGACAACGTACAGAATATTGCTGCGCAAGATTTCAGCTACATAAACGAAAACGAGCAGTTTACAAACCGCCTAAATAAATTACGCGAAAACTCTCCTATCAAACAAAAGATAGTAATACATCGAAATATAAAACTAGCAAGTGCTAAACCTCAAACTAATCTTAGCCCAATTAAAGACATCAAAAATACTGTCATACGGAAAACATCAGCTGATTCTGGGGAGGCAGAAGCATGGGACAGTTCAGCAGGAAAACTAGGAAAGCACAACATTTTAAGAAAAAGTGTGATTGGCGCTAGTGATCATAGGTGTAAAAAGGCCTCTAGTTGTGCTCGTGGCAGTCAGAATTGTGATAACTTTGATAAATCATGTAGTATTGCATCAGTGGGTAATCTGAAATCTATCCACGACTATTACCAAAATGTAATAAGTCCTGAGTTTTTTCGGAAACTCAAAATAATTCGCAGTCCAAGGTAGTGTTTTCCTGTGATGGCCAAAGAATACGCATCTGCCAACTGAACGCTCGAAGCATACGCAATAAAAACTTGCAACTAGAAGCTCTTCTAGATGAAATAAAACCTAGTATAGTGGGCATATGTGAGCATTGGCTATCGGAGGAGGAAATCCAGCAGTATAGCATTGATAACTATTGCCTGGTGGGTTCGTTTTGCCGTGGCTCTAGCAGAGGCGGAGGAGTTGCAATTTTTGCACAAAAAAATGTAAAAACTAAACGGGTATCACTTAAAATACCTTCTACAGAGCACGTGTTTGAGTATACAGCTTGCGAGTTACAAGTTAACAATAAAAAAACCATTTTTCTATCAATTTACCACCCCCCTGATAGAGCCACCAGTGATACCGAGCTATTTTTTGGCCAACTTAATTTAGTTTTACACTGTTTGACAGAGAGATATCAGATTGTATTTGTTGGGGGCAACTTCAATATTAATTGTAGCGAAAGTCAAAATAATAAAAACAAAAACTTACTTCTGGATACTTTTTTGAGTTATGGATTGAAGCCAACTAGCCTCGAACCAACCAGACCATCCTCGGACACTCTATTGGACTTTATATTTACAAATTATGAATGTAATAATAATTTGCTCTTAAAAACAGGGTTTTCAGACCACTTAATGATATCTGTCGATATAGAGGACTTGTTGAGTCAAAAAACTCACCAAAAAAAAACTATAAAACGAATATTCTCAACAGAAAATCAAAAATCCTTTTATGAGAACCTGAGTATGGAGGATTGGTCCGAGGTGTATAATGCCAATGAGGTTGATGAAAAATTTAACAAATTTCATGGTATTGTTTTGTCAGCCTATAATAAGGAATTCCCTGAAAGATTATTTAAACTAAAAAATAACTCAAGGGGCTGGGTTACAACAGAAATTAAAAACATGTCATACAAAGTTAAAAATTTGCATTGGTTGTTTCAAAGAACTAAAAACAAGAATGTACAAGACAAATATGTTCAGTTAAAGCGGAAATACAAAGAGTTATTAGAAAAAACCAAACTAGACTACAATTCAAACTTCATAAAAAAATCATCAAACCTAAGTAGAGCTGCCTGGTCAATAATAAACAAAAAGAACGGGAAAAACTCTAGTAACTACTCTGATGTGCAACCAATTATTCTCAATGACACTGTTGTAACAAACCCACAAACTCTTTGTGATATGTATAATAACTACTTTTTGACCTCAGTAAATGGCATTGGTGATGAGTTGGCAAAGAACATTGAGAACAAGAGCCTATCCAAGACAAGTACCTCGTTCTTTCTTGAACCAACCTCATATAAGGAGGTTTATCAAGTACTTCTCCAGGTTACCAAAAAGCGTTCAAGTGGCTCCGACAACATTCCGTGTCATATAATACGCAATGTTGCTGATATTTTGTGCTTTCCTTTGGAAAATATTATTAATATGTCATTTCTCAAAGGCCAATTTCCAAAAATATTAAAAATCGCTAAAATTATCCCCATTTACAAGAAAGGAGAAAAAAGTGAAGTTAGTAATTACCGGCCAGTCTCAAACCTGTCAGTGTTTTCTAAGGTTTTTGAAAAAATCATGTACACTAGGTTGACATCATACTTCACAAAAAATAACTTATTCTCTTCTTCTCAGCATGGGTTTCTAAAGGGGAAGTCTACTGAAACAGCCTTGTTTGAATCAATCAATGCAATATACAGGTACCTAGATCAAAAACATCACACAGCAGGAATATACTACGATCTTTCCAAAGCTTTTGATCTAGTTAACACACCTTTGCTTGCTGAGAAACTGGAGACTTATGGGATCAAAGGACCCGCTCTGGAGTGGATTATTTCTTACATGACAGATCGGCAGCAGTTTGTACAAATATCAGGGGGGGATGGTCAGATTGTTAACCAACAATTTAGATCAGCTACCCAGAGCATAAAATATGGCGTCCCTCAGGGCGGAATCCTTTCTCCCTTGCTCTTTCTTATTTTCTGTAACAGTCTTTCTGACATGTTTGATGAGGTCCATAAACTACATCAGTTCGCTGATGATACAAGCTCAACCGAACATCACGAAAATCACTTCGATATGGTTGCTAGTCTAAATCTAACATCTTCAAAAATATCAGATTGGTGCACTTGTAATGGTCTCCTCTTAAACCCTCAAAAGTCTGTAGTTGTTGATTTTAAGAACGTAAGATCGCAAAATAATGACCATCCACCATCCGTAGTACTACTCAATGACAAATACATTCCAAATAAAAAAAGTACCAAATTTCTAGGAGTCCACATTGACTCATCTCTTACCTGGGAGAGTCACATAGAAAGTCTTGCTAAAAGACTAGCGACATCATGTTTTGCTGTAAAAAACTTGAAACAAGAATTAGATGCAAAAACAACCTTATTGTACATCCATTCACATGTAATGAGTCGCATCAGCTATGGAATCATCATTTGGGGATCAACATCTAAAATTGAAAGACTGTTTTTACTCCAGAAGCGCTTGATACGAGTCTTGGATAGAGCTAAATGGAATGAACATGCTGTCCCAATCTTTAGAAAATACGAACTGATGACCATGTATTCTTTATACTTTTATAGGGTATTGTTGTTTGTTAGAAAACATCAAAGTTATTTTAAAACCAATAGTGAAATTAACAAGGGAATCAAAACCAGATTTTCTCAAAAGTTAACAATCCCTATTCACAAAACATCATTATTTCAGTCATCTCCACTTTATATGGCTACAAAAGCATACAATTATCTTCCTGCAGATGTAAGAAACATCCAAGGTTTTAATAGTTTTAAGAATAGGATTAAGGCTGTGCTTATGGATAATCCTCTTTACAACCACAATCAATTTTTTGATGTAAACTTTTAAATATCATTTTGTGTATTGTAATGTTGGTTCATGTGATTTTGAATATTTTGTTATTTGTTGCTCTGCGTGAAATGCTATGTAGTACTGTGTAATTTGTTGAAAAAAATCAATTTATTGTAACGACAAATGTACTTAATGTGCATATCTTTATAAATCTGACATTTTATTCAAATTTATTTAATATTTATAGTAATAGCTTTAATGTTTATACTAGTGTAATCGACACATCCAATATACCAATGTATCAGATGGACTAAGGATTGAATAAATAAATAAATAAATAAATAAATAAATAAATAAATAATTTTGTCGTCAAAGAAGACTCCTTTAAAACGCTATGATGAGGCAAATAGAAATGGTTTTTGTCAACAGATTCTGCGGGTATGGCGTCGATAAGTGACATATGCCCTAGATCGCTATATTCTTGCATGAAAGCCGAATATAACTGTTTCACATCTGGGTATTTATGCACTTTATGGGGCGTTTGTGATGATTTCTGATGTATGTTTAAATCACATGTGCTTCCTGGGGGTAGGACAAAATGAAAAACAGCTAGCATTGTTTCAAAAGTCTGAAATCCGGTGTAGTACAATGTTTTCCTATTACTATTTTTGAACTTGTCGAAAGTAAATAAAGCTTTCGCCTCACATACATTGTGCTTTAATCTTTCATTTTCCATCTTTAAATACTCCACTTCTTGTTTATGAGTAGATAATTCTCTTTCACAATTATTAAGTTTATTCTTCAGAAAATCAACCTTTGCTTTTAAATTTTCATTCACCTCCTCCAGTCTTTTCATCTTCACAGACAACCATCCACTGAGACTGGACAGTTCTTTTGACATTACATCTCCGACGCGACGGCTTCCTTTTCACTCGACAAAGTTTTGTCCAACTTCAACCTTTTTGCATCCGGTCCAACTGTTGGGATTGTAATATTTTCTTTGTTATTATTGACTGCTAGTTCGGGTATTTGAGGGTTCTTTGTAGGCACTGCATTGGATGTTAATTTGTGTACGTTACCACCGCGGATAAAATCCGTTGAACAAAAATGTTTGCAGCAAACCTTTAATTGAATAATTAGGTATTATTGTATTTGATATAGAAATCATTATTTCACGAACCCTCAAATATCTGTTCCTACTCAAATCGTCTTCAGTCATGTTTAAAGCACGTAACCATTGTTTTCTTACAATTTGATTCCTTGGGAACTTGTGAAAAGACGACTCGACTTCTTTTTCGCCTTACTCGGACAAGATCTCACACAACACATTTGAAAGGGTAGTTGCATGGAAAATTAAATTGATTATTGTTTATTGCAAACTGTAGGAAATCGAAAAAAAATCGTTACTTTTTTTTTATTTCGCCTAAATATGATTATTCCGGAAGTTCAAATATTAAGTTTTGTATATATAGATATACTGAACATGTGCAACGTCACTTATTTATTAGATAAGTGACGTCATAGGCAAATTTCATAGTGTTGTATCTCCGTCAATTTTTGACTAAGAAGAAAAAGAAAAAACACGTGTTGACTCATTTTTCATGGACTATCGAAATCAGCAATAATTTGATGCAAAGAGCCTATTATCAACTAAACTAAGCGGCAGATGAAGTGGGACACCCGAAAAATTGCCTAATTTTGACTTGCTATAACTTCGACATTTCCTTGCCAATCTTGGATTATCAAGCAGGGTTACAAAGCGCCATCTTTGGTCTATGCGTCAGTGTCGTCCTACATTTTTTCAAAAAATTTCTTCTCGTTATACAGGGTCTGAATGTAAGGCGGTGAAAAATTTCCATTTTTTGGCGAAGAATATGGGATAAACGGAGGGTCCAATAAAGTTCTTTCTAGTGGTGACTCGATCACTAGGTCAACACCTCGAGACGTCTTTGCCATTTTTTCGATACATCGCGTTGCTATGGAAATATGGCCATTTTATGGTATTTCGTTTTACTCTTGAAATTAGCGATTCTTTAATTAAACAATTACAGATTCCGTTTAAATTGCATCATGGAATGACTTGTATAAAAAATGGTCAACACCAGTGGCGTGCAA